AAAATGACCAACACTACATTTTATCTGGAGTTGAAGGCATGCTATTGCGTACAAAATATTAAGATTTCGACATTAAATAACCCATAGAGGTGTTGATATGCCGCTAAACAAAATCTACCAAAATAAAGATACTGGCAGACATGAGTTGGCGCAGAAATTTTGAAATGTCATTTCTCTCCAGGAGATCATGGCTCCCCACAGCTTCCTTTTATTTTTAATATCAGCTGCAGATCATTTGAGTGTCTACGAATTTGTGATGGGACGGGATTGACAGTTTCATATAAAAAAGTTGTTTCCACTTAACTCGTGTTAACTTCGGCGTTTCATGGTTATATATATATATATATATATATATATAGATAGATATAAACATTCGCCGGAACAGAGTTAAACTGCACAGTTAGATACAAATTTAATTCTGGCCTGTCGAGTGGTGATATCAATATCGTCAGGAAATTCCGGAGTAAACGTGATTTAAGAGAAACCTTTTATAGTTCCATTAGTTCACACACACACACACATACACACACACACACACACACACACACACATATATATGTGTGTGTGTGTGTGTGTGTGTTCCATTGCGAAGGTATTCGAACGGCAAGGCCGATTCTTTTGTTTTGTCGTTCCCTGATCATATTTACAGGTGAAACCAAGAGTATTCATTCAGAGCAAATGTTTCAACAATCAATCTAAAAGGCAACACCTGAGCAACAAGAAACACCTGCCGGTCACGTGTGCATTTGAAAAATTCGTGGTTTCAAACAAAAATTGATATGTTCTAAGTTGTTTAACACACGTAAATGTAAATACCGGGAAATAAATGCTAAAATTCTGAACTTTTATCTCATCTTTTGACCTTAAACCCAAAGTGAACAACAAAAACAAAGGAATTGGCCTTACCGTTCCAATACTTTTGGAGGAGACTGTTTTTGTGGGTATATATATATATATATATATATATATATATATATATATATATATATATATATATATGTGTGTGTGTGTGTGTGTGTGTGGTGTTCAGTGTGTGTGTGTGTGTGTTTGTGTGACATACACAAACACACACACACACACACACTCACTGAACGCGAGGCAGCAAATTCTCTGTTAGCCATGTCTGATTGAATAAATTACTAACATTATATCTGTTAAGTTTTAACAAAATCCGTTCATACTCACGAATAGACTTCCGTGTGTTGATGCTATATATATATATATATATATATATATATATATATATATATATATATATATATATATATAGAGAGAGAGAGAGAGATGAGAGAGAGAGAGATGTGAAGCCTAGCGAGTTGATATTTACTATTTGACCACAGATGCTGGGAGTGTCGGGAGAATAAATGGATTCGTGCCTTTCGCAAGGGTGTAATTACGAAGCGAGTGAGCAGCTTTGGTCAGAATTATTCTCCGACTAGACAATATTATTTTGTATACGCTAATTATTACTAGCAGCAGGCTTGCTTCTAACCGATTCAAAAAATCATTTTCATTGAAAGTTCACAAAAATTACCAAGAGACATGAGGAAATTCAAAAACCGAAATGAGATCCGTTTCTTTAAAATATATTTTTTTATTATTCCCTTAGAAAATTAATGAACTAGTTCATATAATTAAACTTCGAGAAACATTGACATTTTAGTATTCTTCAATGCCAAAGGCATCATTTATCCTTACTTTTTTCTAACGGAGTTATTGCAAAATAAACACAAATTATTGTGGAGTTTGGACTCAGTTCATTTTTCTTTACTGCTAAACGCATGGCCACTGGCATCCCAATTAGTATAGCCCATACTCGAATAAGTATTTATATGGTAATGGTAATAGTAGCCGTCTCCCTACAAGGAAACATTTGGCATTCAGTGACCGAGTATCCAGTACTGTTTTCGGTTGAAATTTATAAAATCTTTCTCTTAAAACACTTTTTTTTTTTTTTAAAGGAAAACAGGTTTCTCAAGTCCAGTAGCTGTTATAGCTCTTTCCAGTACTTATGAGGGTTTCTTTCCGGAATTTCTAATTGAAATGGTGTGAAATGTTAACATCTTCATTAGGGCATTATTTTCTCTTTTGGTTACGTATGCTATCCATTTTAGTTGTTTCCGCTGTTGATAGTCCTCAAGTGCTGTGCTTTCTGTTATTTGGTACAGTTCTTTGTTTGTGATTCTGTAGCGCCAGTTCACAAAAGATCAAAGAATTATATTCGTTACAAAGCATTGCGAATTTTAGATTATGATATGTGGCTTACAAAGATATTCTTTTTAAAGTTTGACCGAAAAAAAAAATATTTTGACCTAAATTTACAAAGGGTGATATCCAATATCAACACCGCTTATCCCATGTACATTCTCGAGCCAAGTTACCCTTATTGATTAACTTTATCCCCCAGAGTCGACCATAAGCAAATGAACGCCAAATTTAGCGCGATAGATAAATAAATAAAAAAAATACATTTTTTTTTCAAAAGAAATAATATAAAAGTGTCGATATGTATAAAAGCATGTGAAAAGGTCAATGATATTAAAGATGAAATATAGAAAAACTATAGCGATTTTTTTGAATTATGAGATGTGGCGTTGAAAGATGTTTCTTTTGTAGTTTAGCCGGAGAGACGGAATTTTGACCCTAAATTGACACGAGTTGATATCCAGAAACAACGCGGCTTCTCCATTGTATATTATCGATCCCAATTACCCTCATAGATTAATTTTTATCCCCCAGAGCCGGTCATAAACTTATGTGCGTCGGAATTTGCGCAATAGATAAATAAATCGAAAAATTAACTTTCACAAGAGATAGTATATCTGTATTTATGTGTGAAAAACCATTCGGAAAAGCCCATGATATGAAATATGAAAAGACGATTATATTAGGTGAAAGTTAAAATAGGTGGAGGTCTGTCTTTTTCTTTCAATCATATCACCCCATGCGGGACAGTAAAACTATTAAGAAATGGTTATTGCGTATGAAAGAAAAAAAGAAAAAAAACAGAAACATTATTAAGGAGCGAGAATAATAGAAAAACGTTCAAGAAGACTCTACATAACGATTGATATTGCATCAAAATATTTGAAGATCAAAGTTTGCTGGAAAGAATGAAGCCAGAAGAGAGTTCCACAAGCACGAGGTGCGAGAAAATAAATTGTTACCTTAAACATGCGCTTACAGCAAGCCAATTCAACTGTAAATTGATGAGACCTAACCGCCAATCTAGTACTGCACTTAAATTCATAAACTCTAGGTACGATATCGAAGAGCTCATCTGAACAATTACCATGAAAGTATTTATAGAAACGGCACATGGAAGCAACTTTACGGTGGTGGGTAAATGTCTTACGGTGAGATGCCAGGTCAGGACAAATAATATTGCCGATTCTTCTTTGGATTTTATCAAGCATCTCTAAATAATATATATTAGGGGCAGCGGCCCATATATGACAGCAATATTCAAAGTATGGACAAATTATACATATGTAAGATAGATTCCGGAGAGAAACACAGTGAAATGCAAGAAAAGAACCTGTTAGCATAGAACTTACGGTTACATCTAGCCAACTAAACTGTATGAATTGAGGAGACCTGTCCGCTAATCTAGTACCGCGCTTAATGTTCATGAAGTTTATGTACCATAGTGAAGACTTCATTTGAACAATTAGCATGGAAGTATTTATAGAAAATGAACAGCGAAGCTACATTACTACGATGGGAAAGTGAATGAAGCCGAGATGCCAGGAGAGGACCAATAATATTGTTGATTCGTGTTTGTAATTCATTAAGAATCTCTAAATATATAGAGGGAAAATCGGGCCATATGAGTTAGATTTCTAAATATGTAAGATAGATTCTGTAGAGAAAAATTGTCTAGCGCGAAAAAGTGAACAAAATCTCTTAGCAGAAGACCTAGCAATTGATTCAATATAGTCTTTTAATTCCATGTCAACCGTGAATATTAGCCGAAAAGGTACATTGAGGTACTGTAATGGGGTTTAGCATCAGTCATGGTGATGGGAGTCAGGAAGTAGTATTTCCGGTGTTTGTTCAGCATTCGAAACTATATAGTATTAATGAAATTATGAAAAATTAACTTTGTTACTATTCTTAAATAGTAATCAGAACAGCCAACAAGATCAATAGACTTGTGTTGACTGTCCATCTTGGATCGGTTCAGGATTAGATAAAAATAAATGAAGCTAAGAAGAAAGAAAAAAAATCCTGGTGGCACAATGTCTCTCGACATGAATACCCATTCGTAAAAAAAAAAAATTCTTTAATTTATGGAGAAGCCAGAAAATGGCCCGTTTTTGGTATGCCACAATATCTACAACAGGAAAGTGTTCTTGTCTCTTGTAATAAGACATGAGATGTGTTTAATGCGTAATATTTGTAATGTTTGCTAGCAGACAATCTGAAGATTCCTGGCTTTTCACGGGAAGCGTTATGAAGATGACAATCGTCGATAAATGAGTGAAAAATCCGAATTGATTTCGCCTGATGGAATGTATTTGATAGAGAACAACTACATTACTTGGTTTAATGGCCGACTGATGATAAAGACAGGCTTAAGAAGGGGATTGAAAGATCTAGTGAAGACAACAGGGGAAAATAACAATGATAAAAGTTTCATTGGAAATGGACGTGTATACCTATATATATATGTACGTATATTTCAGAGAGAGATGGGTATTTGAATAAACATGAATATTGACGTAGACTATTGAGATTATTATCTAATTATTCGAACATATTGAAATTTATTCATATTTGTTTAGCTCAGCTTATTTCAATTTCTATCAATCTATTTATCTATGTTTGTTCATTATCTATCTATCTATCTATCTATCTATCTATCTATCTATCTATCTATCTCAGTTTGTTCACATCTATCTCTCTGTATGTCTGTCTATCTATCTATCTATCTTCATTATCTATCTATCGATCGATCTACTAAGAGAGAAAGAGAAATTGTCAAAAAAAGAGTGTGAGGGAGAAGAAAATAAATACAAAGTGGAAATTAGCTACAAGCGTCCATACAAGAAAATCTATCTATTAAGAGAGAAAGTCACAGAAAGAGAGAAAGCGCGCGAGAGAGAGAGAGAGAGGGAGAGAGAGGGGGAGAAAGAGAGAGAGGGAGAGAGAGAGAAAGCTAGAGAGAGAGAGAGAGAGAGAGAGCACAAGGCAGAGACAAAGAGAGAATTATTTACAACTGCCCATATAAGAAAGTCTATCTTGTTACAGAGAAAGAGAGAAAATGAGAAAGAAAAGCCACATGGAAGATTGAAGTTTATAAGCAGTAAATTCGACCTTGTCTACCGAATGCTTCTTTGTGGCCGATCGGTAAGGCACGTCAGCGTAAATGACGGTTCCGTATAGGATGCAGGTTCGAATCCTGTCAAAGAACGAATATTTTCTATGAAAATTTCTCGGACATTCAGGCTGGTAAATGTTATTTAATACTGTTTATTATAAACAGAGCATTTACTTAAATACTTGTATCTATAAAAAGAACGTTAAACATATAAAAAAATGTCTTTAATAAATAAATTGTCTGACTTTGTCCATTTCTTAATATATATATATATATCAGGTCATCCCATAAGTTCTGTTCGAATTTTAACTTTTTGTTAAAATGAACTAAATTTAAAGAGTATTTTATAATGTCTAATGGAGCTGAACATTATTTTTATGTTTAGATGCATTTAAACTGATCAAATTTTATTTCAGAGAACAATAAAATTAAATTTTGTTTAATTAAAACCCTGCTAACATGGAAGTACCCAAGAATAATTTGTAGCACATAATGCTTTATGAGTTCAAGAAAGGGAACTCGGCAGCCGAAGCGGCTGAAACATTCACTCAGTTTGTGAAGAGGAATGTGTGAATGAAAGAACTTCCAGAAGATGGTTTGCAAAATTCAGAGGTGGAGATTTTACCCTTGAAGATGAAGATCGAACCGGACGTTCAGTTGAGTTTGATGAAAAGCTTCTTGAAGCAGCCCTTGATGAAAATCTTGCTTTATCAGTTGAGGAATTGGCAGTGGTTCTCAGTTCAAACCATACAACTGCTCATCGTCATCTTCAACAACTTGGAAAAGTTCCTAAACTTGGAAAATGGGTGCCTCATGAATTGTCTGAAAACAACCTCAAATCCCGAGTTGACATCTGCTCTTCTCTCCATTCTCGCCAACTTGTTTCACATTTTTTGGATAGACTTGTGACTGGTGACGAAAAATGGATCTTTTATCGAAATGTTAAGAGTCGTAGACAGTGACTTGGTAAAGGGGAAGGACCCCAGCCACAGCCGAGAACAGAACTTCATGTGCAAAAGGTTCTTCTTTCAATCTGGTGGGATCGCCAAGAAATAATCCACTTTGAATTCTTACCACCTAATGCAACAATTAATGCTCAAATATACTGTCAGCAATTAGAGCGTTTGAACCAAGCTTTGAGGAAAAAAGACCTGCTCTAGTGAATCGAAAAGAGGTGATGTTTCATCAGGACAATGCGCGACGCCACACAGCAAGAATCACGTCACAAAAGATCGAAGAACTTGGTTGGGAGAAAATTCTCCCGATCTTGCTCCTTCAGACTACCATTTGTTTCTTAGCTTACAGAATCATTTGGAAGAAGCAGCTTTTGTAACACAGGAAAAGGTTAAAACTGACATTTGTGAGTTCTTCGAATCAAAGCCAAAAGAATTTTATAGTAATGGAATTAGTAAGCTTGTTAATAGATGGAAGGAAGTCATAGATAATCAGGGAAAATACATTTTTGATTGAATCTGTAATTAAATGTAACATTTGATCACTTGTTTTCTTTATTCAAAATTCGGACAGAACTTATGGGATGATGTGAAGTAAGCAGTAAACATCTCACAAATCCGATGATATATATATATATATATATATATATATATATATATATATATATATATATATATATATACAAATAAATAAATCACTTTTGATATTTCATATATATATATATGACAAATTATCAAAGGTTTCAGTGGTTGAGAAATAGGTCCCGTACGGACTCAGAGAATCTGCAACAGCATGTGGCTTGTTGAATCATTGCTTTCACAACATCTGCAGGCATCGCTTTTAGAATAGGTTTGTTACATGTGATGAGAAAAGGATCCCTTAAAATCACATTAAACGTCGCTGATCGTGGATCAGTCGAGGAGGAAGATCAGCTCAACAACTAAGAGGAGGTCTTCATCCAAAGAAGATCGTATTGAGTGTATGGTGGGATGTTGAAGGAATTGTCCATTACGAACTGTTAAGCAACATCCAAAAAAAATATAGCTAATCTGTACTGTGATCAACTTTGTCGTTTTAAAAAGCTTTGGGACATAAGCGTCCTTCTTTAGTGAACAGAAAGCGTGTTATCATCCAATGCTCATCCTCACACAGCTCGGCTAACTAAAAATCTTTTGGAAGAGCTTGGTTGGGAAATATTGCTTAATCCACCATATTCCCCTGGCCCTTATGATTATCACATGTTTCGGGGACAACATAATCATTTGTATGGTTTTAAGTTGAGTCAGGAAAAGAGGTTGACATTCCTATTTTGCTTTCAAAACCTAAGGAAATTTTTAGGCGTGGCATTTATAAGCTTGTTGACAGCTGGAATGATACACTATTTACATTATTCTCATTGTCCTCATCTTTCTTGCCATATTTATCACAACATTTCAGCCGTTGTACGCTCCGGCTTTCTTCAGGTGGTTGGAATGTCGAACTGAACCCTTTTATTTCGCACGCTGGGGTAGACTTTTCTAGTTCCACGTGGGGACTATTGTCCTCATCTTTCTTGTCATATTTATTACAACGTTTCGACCGTTGACGCTACGGCCTTCTTCAGATAGTTGGAACGTCGAACTGAACCCTTCTATCCATTAAACATGGCACGTGTAACTAGAACAGACTACCCCAGCGAACGAAGTAAAGGGTTGTAATAAATATGGCGACAAAGATGAGGACAATAGTCCGAATAATGTAAATAGTGTACATAATACCTCATCTCAGAAATATAAACAGATAGCTGGAATGATGTTATATAAAGCAAAGGAGCTTATGTTAACGAATAAATGTTTTCATAAGCATAGGCCTTTTCGTTTTTAGTATAGACCTTGAAAACGAACATTACTTTTGCACCAACATGATATGCGCCTTAATAATTTTCATTATCAAAGATAGTTTACGCCAAAGAAAACAAGGTTTATAACACAAGAAACAAATTTATAATTTAGATGACTTAAATATTTAACAAATTGAAAATACTTATTTGAAAACTTATTAAAGAAATGTGCCTTCGAGTAGGATTCGAACCACCGACTCAGCTTCCCAATCATCGAAAATGGTTTCTCTTGCAAAGTGGGAGGTAGGATTGAATCCTATCGGAGAGAGGGTTAGTTTTTAGTATGTCTTTTCGAGTGTGAAGTAAGTCTGATGAAATAAATATATGTATATATATATATGTCCCTCCTCCTCCCCCTCTCTCTCCCGCTCTCTTTCTCTCGTTATATATATATATATATATATATATATATTATACAAATCAATTATACATATTATACAATGAATCGTTTATACAAAAAGTAAATATAAAAAGTAAATTAGTAAAGTTAATGATATAAAATGTCGAAATCCCATCGCTAACTAAATTTTAAAGGTGCATTAACCTACTCGATGAATGTTATGGTCAATGTTTTTTTTAACTGAAATACACAAGTACTTTCGATTGTACTTACAGTCATCATCAGGTATGAAAATTATTTTGTTTTTGGTAAAATTCAGGTAGCATCCGAGACGAAAATTATAATAAAAATCGGAATATGTTTTTTTTTAATTTGTTATTGATAACGGATACAAATTTGTGGAGCGTGGAGTCTCACTAATGTTGAATTATCTTGAAAATATAACTTTATTTACATATTTATGACTTATTTATTACTTATTTTATTATTTATTATTATTTACTTATTTATTTTAATATTTTATTATTTATTTTAACATTTTATATCATAAACTTTACTAATTTACTTTTTGTATGTATGATTCATTGTAATATAAATTGAACTGCACCATATATTTGAAATATTTGATATATATATATATATATATATATATATATATATATATATATAGATAGATAGATAGATAGATAGATAGATAGATCTATATCTAGGTCTGCTCTACAGTTGTATTGAGCGCTTTTGTTAGTTGTTTACTCGTATCGGGTTTTTTTCTTTGGGCTTCAGACCTGCATCTGTGCGATTTTTTTGTCGGCAGAAGTTCATGTTTGTGGCTCTTTCTTTTTTAAAACCTTTTTTTTTCCTCGAGATTGATTTGATTATTAGCAAATAAAAAATTCGAGGGTTTTTCGAAACGAGTCTAGTTATATATATATATACATATATATATATATATATATATATATTAAATCGCTTTTATTCCAGAATATTGGTATAGTTGTTCTACTTAAATAATTTTTGTGAATCTCTTGTGTTTAATATCATTTACGTTAAGAACGAATCTTTTATCCGTCATAAATTATATGTCCGTTTATCCGTTATAAATTTATGACAGTATATTTATTTTTATAATGGACACCATATTTGACAGGTGAAATGCGACACTATAAATGTTATAATAGTATATTTTTCTTTTTAGACTCGTTTACAAATATGTTTGTGTTCGGTGAATTTAATGCCAATCGTGCCAGATAAATTAATCACTCTGTCACTGACTTCAAACACTGAAATATTAATTACTCAATCTCTCACGCAAATGGCGGATTTTCCCACGCGTTTCCCCAGCAATTCTGATGGACATGTTTTTCTTCTTGATTTGTTATTTACCTCTATCCCTCACTCATGTCGCATCCTGCAGCTCTGCCCTCCTGGCAACTCTGATCATGCAGCAATGTCTATAAACATCTCTGTCCGCTCTCCCACCAGCCAAGAATCTCCGACTAATATA